TTAATATAAGAATTATTTTCAATTGATATCACACCTGAAATACTTCTCAAGTTGTCGACATAATTTCCCTGATAATTCGACGGTGACAACCATGCATCATTCATTCTGATCTCTGTTATTTGCTAGAAGTAGTCTTTCCCCTCTTACATGAAAAACTCAGGTAGAGAGTGCATTTAATTAATGTTAAATGTCTTCCTCTAGATTATAATATACGAATCATATTCAATTGATATCACACCTCAAAAAATCCTTAATTTGTCCTTTCTCAGTTTTGACGGAAACTTAAACTTTAAGGTATCCAAATGATGAGGGTATTGTTAACAGATGTAAGATCAGAAAACCATTTTCCTGGAAATCTTGTCACAGGAACGTGTAAAAGACGATCTGAATTTTCTCGGCAATCGAGAGGCCCAAAGCCATTGGAAGCCCCCTGGCGTTCAGTTCAAGTCTTGAATTTATTTGTGGTAAAAACTAAAAAAAGTTTGCCTCTGGTAATTCATATAATTATAGTTCGTACCAATGGCCCCTTTGACCTCTCTTTTGCTCGCGAATATTTCTCTGAGAACAATCTTTCGGTAAATTCGGTAACAAGGTTTGTGGAGGAGGGGGTGAGAATACGCAGTGTAATGTCTCCAGATGTCAAAGGAGACGAGGCAATAAAACATGTCTATGCCTATAATATTTAAAATTATTTTGTATTTTTAAGTTATTGACGTTAAGCCAAACAATGTGAGACAGAAGTGGAGGGGGGAGGGGCAGGTGAGTAGAAGAAATCAGCTGTACATGTTAAAGAGGTCTATGAGGTGCCAACTGTCCCCCTTCTCCTTCTACAGAGATTTATTCCAATCTGTCTCATATGGGTACAGTTCTGCTCCTCTAATCTCCCCTTCAGCACTTGTCTTAGCCTATGAGATTGAATGCCTTTCATCGTATTAGTTACACTATGACTGCAGATGCAATGTGAACAGTTGAATTGATCAAAGAAATATTTGTAGATATATTACCATATTTCATTTGCATTGTTATCTTTATGTTTTATATCTTGGCTCCAAGGAGTTTTAAGAATATAGAAATGTTTCTGACTTGGAGGAAAAAACTGGACGGACGGAAATGTTTTTACCAGGAAATCGAGCTTGTCACAGTTTGCTACTTTGTGGATCAACACATCAATAGTTTTAAAACGAGTTGTCAATAACATTTACCACAACGAGAATCATTACCTATCACCCCGAGATTTCTCTTGTTGTTGAGAGCCCCCTGGTGGAGGGTAGAAAATTGATATGAACTAAACTCACGCTTTCGCAGTGATGACGATCCATTACGTTATGTAGTTTCATTAAGTAAAATGCACTTGAGCTTTTTTAACGTCTTAGAATCCAAAATGAGAGCGTTTTTTATTCTTCGTTGCTACTGTTGTGTCGAGAAGTTTGCAATTTTGTCATTTTTAAATAATTTTCATATAAAAAGCAGACGACATTGAGCCCAGTTTCCCGGATGAAGTCCACCTAGGCTGTGAATTGTTTTGGGAAATCAAGAGAATTAAAGCAGTAAAACAGAGTTATGCAAGCAATCTATCTATCAAATAAATAAATAATTCAGAACGCATTTAGATTAACTCACTAAAAGTGTATTATCCGAGACTACACTCACCTTTCAGATAGGGACGCTAATTGCAAGGAGCGATGGTCGTGGAAATTGTACTCATTTCTTGAGTTTGTCTTGCTTCCTGTACACGTGGCACACACTCACCACTTACGAAGGGAATGCAAGGCACGACGAAAGTATTGCCCTTTTGCGTCAGTTTTTCTTCACTCTTGCCTCACACGTTTGTGGTGACGTACGGCATACGTCATAGTCCCTTACCTACACTGGTCTATCGTTTCATTGTGTGAAAAGCTCCAGTGGCCAGACAATTTTCACGGTGCCATGAAGATAAACAGTTAAAAAATACCCACAATAAATTCGGCAACCGTAGGATGCGCCAACATATAGATAATTGCGATGGTATTTATGCCGAAATATCAAAATGAATAGCCCTGCCGTTCCAATCGGCAATCCTCGACTGTCGAGTGCGGAGACATCCGAGTAGTTCCAAGTGCTGCCGTTCTACCCTTTAAACCAATCAAAGCAACGGAAAGGGGTCACGGGATCACTTGACCTACATCTCATCGATGTAAACAATGAATTTCCATGCGAAGCTTGCACATTTAATAGATGATTCCCATGCGTTGTTTCAATAAAAAAAATAAGTCCTAGGTTTTTAAAATCGATGTCAATATCGAGAGAAAGATTTAAATAGTTGGAGAATACGTGTATTTTAGGTGTATTTATATAATTGGCTAAATGATGACGTGAATTCACGGTTAAAAGGTATGTAGTAT